CTACAGTGTACTCTGAATTTTACCAAAAATTGTTTTTTCTGTCCCATTCTTATATCTGGAGAATTCCCCATTTTATGAAGCTTGGTGGGAAGAAGTGTCTTCCTCTCACTATGGAAACTAAAAATGCCAGATATTTGCTTAACCAGTTTTCAGGCATGTGACCTGGGCTCAGCCATGTGGGTATTCCTTTACTGGACTTTGAATGGAGCTTCATTGTTTTCAGATGACACAGAAAACCCCCTCTAAAACAGACAGATTGTTAGAAATAATAGGGAAGTTTATCAAGGTGGCTGGATACAGGATCAGTTTATATTTCTGTACGCCAGCAGAAATATATTTTCTAAGGAAGCAGGGGTTGTGGACAGTCCATTCTGGTGATAGTGGTGGTGGTGTCGTCTCCAGGGGCCACAGGGGCAGTGCCCAGAGCATCGAGGACTGATGGTGAGGGCTTTGCAGGCTGTGGCATTAGGAGCATTCTCTGATTTTTGGCTGTGGTCCAGGGTTATTTCTGCCACCTTCCTAGCCTGCTTCCTCAGCCTAACTGGAGGTTCTATAAGTTCTAACCAATCATTTTCCAGTAAATTGCTTTTCTGACTATTCTGTGTGAGTCAGTTTCTGTCCGTTGCAACTGAGATCCTGACCGATACAGGTTGTATCTTCAAAAATACCTGAATTGCTATATAACCGCCACAGGCAATCAACATGGAGGCATAGGGGTAGATGGCTAAATACTATTCGAAGTGAAAGAAAGAGACGAAATGAGTTTTTGAAGTGGGTTTCAGACAGAATTTTGCCTAAACTGTAACACCTAGATTATGTTGATGGGGCTTCCCTGGTGGTGCAGTGGTTGAGAGTCCGCCTGCCGATGCAGGGGACACTGGTTCGTGCCCCGGTCCGGGAAGATCCCACATGCCGCGGAGCGGCGGGGCCCGTGAGCCATGGCCGCTGAGCCTGCGCGTCCGGAGCCTGTGCTCCGCAACGGGAGAGGCCACAACAGTGCGAGGCCCGCGTACCGCAAAACAAACAAACAAACAAAAATTACATAAGATTATGTTGACGATGACCACTAACATTGCTGGGAATTTGGAAGAAGAACTTGAGATAGCCTATCTTTCATATCATTCTATGTATTCACATTCTTTCTGCAGTTTGCCTAGAAACA